GGGTCGTTAGAGAATAAATAACTTTAAAAGTTGCTATGATGAGCAAAATTATTTTAAATTAAAACAAATATAACAAAAAAAATGATCTTCACTAAATTGTTATACTAACAAAAACGTAACAGCAATTTGATCTAAAAATATTTTTGTAATTTACGTAAAGGTTATGACTGATCGGCTCGTCTACGTCATACGCATTACTGCCAAATTGTTTACGTTATAGATGACGAGTTTTATCAAGAATTTTAAATTTGAAAGCATTGATTATTTCCAGTTTTCATGACAAAATATTGTTTTAAGAATATAACTGTATATTTATTGCAAATACTGCAGAATGTAGCACTTACAAAGTTTACCGGCTCCATATTTCTTCAAGATATTACATGTTCTTCGTCAGAGGCGAATTATTAAAGTCAGTCGAACCGACGCATGTTCCTTCTACTTACTACATCTCAGAGTTTTTAGTACGACGGGAAAGCCTATCGATGTTTCAATTGTCGTGCTTTGAGTAGTATTGTCATACATCTAGTGGGATGGTAGTGTAAAATATTTCATGACAACAGTTTTCTAGCTAAAATCTCCAAAGATGAAGGGAGGTTTGGTACATAGTACATTGTTAAAGAAGATTAGTTTGGAGAAAGTGGAAGTATTTAGCTATGTTTGATAATTGATTAATTGACATAGTTGAGTACTGCTGCTACGATGCTTTTTCTGGTATTGCATAAATATTTTCAATATATAATATTCTTCTTACTGTTGATGTCGAATTCGTAATAAGAACTACAATTGGGAAATTTTAATCTTTGAAAAATAGGGGTGGATGAACTTAGCCATAACGATTAAGAGTAGATACACGAAGATGATAAATAAAATACCGTATTTTTCGGAATATAAGACGCACCCTTAACTTGAAGACAAAGTTTTTGGGGAAAAAAAAACTACAGTTGCATTTGAAAGATTTTTATTGAACAAAAATTCAGTTTGATACTTTAAAAATTAGTATATATTGTTCTAAACACAAAAGAGCTCAAAATAAGAAAATACCGTAAATCAAAAAAAGGTTTACTGTTATTTAGTTTGGTTCAAAACCTACAAAATCTTCATTGCTTTCAGTGTAATTTTTTTTTTATTTAGGGAGCATTATAAATAGTTATGTTTTTAAAATAAAATAAAAACTACTATTGTTATAAATAACACATTCAATTGAACTAGACTATGCATGCCTATTTAAATATATGTACACATATATTATTCATACCTTCGGTGTATAGGACGCAAGTAGATTTTGACATCAAATTTTGGGGTAAAAAAGTGCGTCTTATACACCAAAAAATACGGTACGTAAATAACTAAATGTTTATCAAGGTAGCAAGTACCCTTATGTGACACCTGCCAGTCTAGGAAGTATTTTTGAACATAATGTGGAGTTCTGTTTTGTCATGTTGCCAGGGTTTTATTTTAAAGTTTGTTTTCGTTTGTGAGTAGAATTAAAATATCTAGGAAGTCAATGTCCTGACTTGGCAAGAAAAGGTCTCTTGAGTTAATGCAAGTGTAAAAATCTAAAACTTGTATTCATGTAGAAAACTAATAAACTATGAGTGTCAAATGGTATAGTGGCAAAGTGTTTCTACTATAGTAGAAGAGAGAGTAGGCTATTGTTGCGTTATCGAGATCATGTGATTCTCACGCCCTCTACTTTCTAGAACTATCCTGTACTTTGGCGAATGCTCTAGTATTTACTAGATAGGGTAGTCTGGTACATATATAAGAGGGTGACAACGTGACACAATAATGTAATGTGTGTGTAGATAGTGAGTAATTGAACTGCAGTCACAGGGTATTGTTGAAGTTAACGTTCGTTCGTTATAGTGTTTGTTTTAGCGCGAATATTGAAATTAAGTGTATCGTAAAGTTATATTCGGAAAGAATAAACCAGTTTTATTAAGTAAAGACTTGTGTCGTTAAAGTTTCGTCAGAACGAAGTTACGGAAAAATCAATTAACAAACGGAGACGTAACACTATGATAATGGCTTGTAAGTACTAACAGAAAGTAGGCTTGTTCTGGTTAAATGTAGGTCCATGATATTGTTACGTCTGTGTTCGTTTCTTAATTTCCCATAAAATTTCTTTCCGAGAAACTTCAGCGATATAAGTCCTTTCTTAAATAAAACTAGTTTATTCTTTCTCAGTTCAACTTTGCAATACACTTAGAAAAATAAATCGAATGGCAGATTCAGTTTCAGAAATCCTTAAAAACTAGACCCCATCATGCTGGGCACATTTTGGCTTCTCTTGAAAGGAGGGCTACATCATATAAATAAAAACACCCCTGAGCCACCCCAAGTCCACATGCCAACTTTGGTTCTGCTAGCTTCATAACTGTATGAGGAGTTTGCAGAGAGACAAATTCACACGCAATGTAAATTACTATAGTTATAGATTATAACTTTTTTTCTAACACAAAATCGGCTTGTTATGTTTAGAGAGTGTTGGTTTTCGAGAAGAATAAGACAACTGACAACATAGCTGTGAATATAAGAATTTACATGGAACAACTAATTCTTATTTGTTGACAGTTCTAATATTTTTAATAATAAGTAAATCTGTTGTTGTAAGCTATATTTTCAATGCTTTAATCTAGATGTTAACTAAAGAGTGCATGACATTAAGATCAAAAATTTAAAAAGTTCTTAATTTAAAGGAATAAAAACCCTATAACCCAAGCACTTTTGAAAGGTCCACCTTTCGAAAGCACTCAGGTTATAGGGTTTTTATTCATTTCTATCAAGACTTCTTGAACCTACATGTTTTTCTAACATCATGTAAGCTCTTAATTTGATATAAAAATCTAGTAAATTTTGAGAGTATTAAAAGATGAGAGTACATTATAAATACAAAAATCAGTAAAGCATTGAGTTAGTGATTTGCTTTTAGTTAACAGAGTGCCAGTCATAAAGTGACGTATTTGGGTCTATGATAATTATTGTGCACATTCAGTTACTTGATTTGGTTAGGATGTACAAATAATTTTATTCTTAAATTTGTGGTAGTATTTCCACTGAATGTCATTTGTAACCATAGGGCTACAATACAAGTCAGTTTCTAGAAACATTAACGAAGAAATAAACTAATTTATCATCATTATGTGAACTGGACTTGGCCTTATTGTCACCTAATAATTTAAAAGAACTTACTAAACAAAAGAACATTACAATAGAATCATAAGAGTGGAAGACACCTTTAACTGTGAGGATATCCAAATGGTAATCTTGACAGAGTGGTAATTAAGGCTTTTGTGTGATTTGTCAGTTACTCATAATTAAGAATAAGTATTATAGCTTTTTAGCAGCTCTTCTGGTATAATATTTTATTTAAATCTAAATATTCATGTAAAGTGGTTAGAGAGACTTAAGGTGTGGTTGGTCTGACATTTTGTAGAAAATATTAATATTTTTGACACGAACAAATTTTCTGAATGAAAGCTTTTGCTTGATTTACCAGTACAATTATCTTTGCTATTTTCCCTAAAATAGTGTTTATTATAATATTTTAGGCTGGCATTGGACAGTGATGGAAATACAGATAGCAGTGACAGTGACTCTGAAAACAGTAACACAGCCACCAACAGTGTAAGTCTACAGAAAAGAAGAGGTAAGTCTTGACCTACAAAAGAGAGTTCACTAAAAACTGACTTTATGTTGCTGATAACTTAGAATGGTCTAATTATCTTAAGGAGGAGAATAAAACTATTTCAACATAACAAGCTAGGATGATAATAGGTCACACTGGGAGGTCAATTACTTCCATCTGACATGGTTATCCAAGAGTTAAGGTGCTGTCTGTCATAAATGTTTTCAAACAAGACATTGACTACACAGCATATCTAGCGAAGTCTCATCTTTTCTTTCCTTTCAGAATCCCAGTGCTTCCCTCTTCTTTTGTAATAAACTAGAATATATAGAATATATATACTAGTTATATAGTATTAAACATCATTTCCCAGACTAGTATTTGAACCAGAGATATTTAACAAGAAAAAATGAATTATGAAATTTATTAAATATTTAAAAAAGGAGAATAATTTCACAGTCAAAAAATAAAATTCATAGAAATTGTATTTAACGTTTTAAGTAAAGTATTTGATTATATTTCCATAAACAAATTGGATTTGGTATCTATGCTGTGCATTAGTTTTCTTGCTAGTTACCAGAAGTTGTGTTTACAGTTTCAGAAATTAAACAATAACAACTAATGAAGTGGTAAATTAAGTGCATTTTAGCATTTGTCATTAGGAGTTTGTAATAAAAAAACAGTATTTGGGTACTTGAGAAACTTTAGTAATGAATGTTGCACGGTGTTTTGTAACTTGTAAGTTTATATATTTGTTTTATTTTTTATCAAACAGACTCCAATCTATGGCAGCCACATTTCCCCATCACTATAAAGTCTACTAGAGAGGTGAGTAGCCATGAGTTCTGGTTTTTCAATATGTTATGGTCATGAATTAAATGATTACTACACTATAAAGTCTACTAGAGAGGTGAGTAGCCATGAGTTCTGGTTTTTCAATATGTTATGGTCATGAATTAAATGATTGCTACACTATAAAGTCTACTAGAGAGGTGAGTAGCCATGAGTTCTGGTTTTTCAATATGTTATTGTCATGAATTAAATGATTGCTACACTATAAAGTCTACTAGAGAGGTGAGTAGCCATGAGTTCTGGTTTTTCAATATGTTATG